CTTGAGCACTCCCCTTTTGATGTTGAGACATTTTTTTGAGGATGGAAGCCTTAGAACTCATAGCCCAACACATGGATTGCTCTTATACACCCTTTATCTCATGTTACCACCATTTTTGGAGAAAAGGAGCATTAGACTCTTGGCCCTTTACCTTGGGACGACCCATGGAGTTAAATTAGGTCACCTTTGACCTAATAAAAGTAGGAGGCCATGCTCGTTGGTCTCCAAGGCAAGGGTGCCACCCCTTTTATGACCTAATTTCTAAAAGGAGCATCTAGGATAAAATATGCTTAGGATTTTTTCCAATGTAATTCCCTCTAGGTCCCTAACCTATGCCTATAAAAGGAGACCTCTCCTCTTCTTGTTTTTGGTTGGAATACACATACTTTGGTAAAACAAATTGTGAACCTTGTGCTTAAGAGGATCATTCCTCTTTGGATGTCTTATCTTGAGTCCACTCAAGTGGTGGTATCTTCCCCACTTATCTTGGTAGATTTTACTCACCAAGTGGTGTAATAACACTCATTTTCTATCCCCCTTTATCTAATCTTTTCCTCCATTATTTTCCATTTCTATATTTTTTACTTCAATCTTCCCTACCTTTAAATCCACAAGAAGTAAACCTTCACACTTAGATGACCTTTGGGATTATCTCCGTGTCCACTAGAACTCTTCCTTGGGTTTTCCTCTCTTTTGCATTATCACAAACACCTTAATTGCTCAAGATTAAAATCAACCCTCTATCATTTGGTATTCAAAGCTATAGTTAACTAATCCTTAATAGGTTTTTGTCTTTGTTTCCTAATCTTGTTTTGCATTTGCATCTATTTCCCTTGCAAAAGCCATGACTAAATCCTTTGCTAAGTTCCTTTTATTATTCCAAATTGTGCTGGTTGAGAGGTTGGTTTTCTTTTACCTGGTTCCATTCAAATTGTAACTTCTCTTGATTAGATTATGGCATGCACTTAGTTTGGTTAAATTGGATTGAATTGTTAAATTAGACATTGTAGGATAGCTAATTGTGTAAAACCTTTTCTTAAAAAGTTTGAAAGTCTCTTTTATGATACATTCTCTTTGATTGAGACATATGTCATATGGTCCTTAGAGTTTTCTTTTCTTGCATCCAACATTTAATATGTTTGATAAAATGAATAATTGAAAATTGCATGTAACTTGAATTGATTGGTTGAACCTAAACATAGGAATTAAGTGATCCATATTATATTGCATCCATTAAGTATAAAATTATAAAAAAGAGGCATGTCAAAATTTTAACATTGGAACCTTGAGGTCAAGAGCTTTTGCTAGAAACAAATTTGATTGAAAGAATTTGCAAAAGGAAGTGCTAAGTTGCATGATTCTAAAACTTGAATGCATAAATGTATGAGTATGTCAAATTAAGTTTGTTAGGGTTCTAACATAAAACAATTTGTAAATATATGGGGTAGCATAACTAGTATTTAAACCATATCAAATAACATGAGATGAGAGGTATGGAACTTCCAACATGCCCCTTCCAGCGAAGTCTGTCGAACAGGTAAATGGTACTTTTGACCCACAATAAAAGAGAAACTCTTGGCCTATGACAACAACCAGAAAGAGGTTAGACTTTGACTCTAATACCATGTTCAAGTTTTAACATAAAACCAATTGACAATATATGGAGTAGTCTAACAAGTATTTAATCCATACCACATAACATGAGGTAAGCGATGTGATATTTCTAACAAATTCCATTAATTGTAGGCTTTTAATCTTCTTAGTATGTGTACTTGAACTTAGACTTTATTGGCATGTTTTTAATGTTTCTATAGAGTCTTATTTCAAGCTTTTCTCTCTGTCTTAATCTTGTTTTGTCAACATTTCTTCTTCAAGTTATGCCTATTTTTTGTTTTAATACTTTTATTACTTGTCTTAAGAAATCCTTAAGTTTTGTCTTTGGTCTTGTTTCCTTGGATTCTAGTGTAGAACATATTATACATTTTTCCATTTGTTTGAGGCTCATATACTTTGTATGCTTTAAGAGGTTTGAACTCCTAAAACACAAGTGAGAAGTTTGAGTGAGTGAATCATACCCGTAAGTTTTGTGTGAGAAGCTAAACACTTGGAGAGTGTGTTATTTGTTTTTATAACTTTTTCTTTGAGTTTGTTTCTTGTTGTTTCTTTTAATTTTTGTTTATAGGAAAACATGTCAAACTCATCATTCAAAAAAGCAGGTAAGGTGGGAGAGTTCAATGAGGGATAAATGAAGAGTCAAGTCGAGGCTTCCTTGGTAGATCTCCCTAAGGAGATGGAGGTCTCAAGAAAGAAAAATGAGAGACATTTAAGGGAGACTATCCAAATATTGGAACAAGAGAAAACCGAAAAGGAAAGAAGAAGATTGATATCTTCACAAAGCTTTGAATGAAAGGAAGATGATTGGGGATACTATGGAGGAAGATGCGCTAAATTTGTTCATTCTTAACATTGGAGGGAGCTCCTTTTGAAGCTTCAATGACTTCAACAAGGAAATTTATGTGTGGATGATTACTATAACTTGTGAGAACCCCTCTTGCTTAAGGTATCTAGGTTTGTGAGTGGGTTAAGGAGGGATATCCAGGACATGGTAGAGTTATATGAATACTCTTATGTGGAAAATATTTTACATCTTGCACTAAAATTAAAGCACAATTGAAAAAAAAGGAAAGTGAAAAGAAGAGTAATCATAATAATGACTATTATAGTTTTAATTGGAAGGATAGGAATAATGACAAGGATGGTAGAAAAACTTCGAACCTTGATACCACTAGTAAGGAAAAATCTAAAGAAGCCCAATACTTCTACTTCCTAAAAGACAAGTTCTATTATGTGTTTCAAATACTTAGGATACGAATACATTGCTTCTAATTGCCCAACTAAGAGGACAATGGTCCTTAGGGAGAGTGGCGAATAGATAATGAGTATTCTTCTTCCCTTTCCCATCGAGAGAAAGTTCCTCTGAGAACAGTTCATCTAATAATGATGAGATCAAGTCGTGTGAAGACGATTTTATAATAGTGAGATAGATGTTGGGTCAAATCCAAAAGAATCTTAACAATGCACAAAGAGAGAATATTTTTTATACTCGTTGCCTCATTAATAACAATGTGTGTTCACTAATCATTGATGGAGGAAATTATGTGAACGTAGCTAGAATAAGAATAATGGAAAAGCTTGGTTTGACCACTGTTCCTCATGCCAAGCCTTATAAACTTTTATGACTTTGTGAGAAAGGTGAGATCCATGTTAATAAATAAGTACACATTAACTTTTCAATAAGAAAATACAAGGATGAGGTTTTATGTGATGTTGTGCATATGGAAGCTTCACACATTTTAATGGGTAGGCCATGACAATTAAACAAACTTTTCTTAATAGTTATAGCAACAAGTTTTCCTTTAACTTCCAAAAACATAAGATTACTTTAAAACCTCTAACCCCACAAGAAGTTAGTGAGGATTAATTTTCACTATCATTCATGAAATCAAAGATACTAAGTTTACTTTAAAGATTTTTTAAGATAGAGTGCAAATCTAGGTCATTTTTCTCAAGGACACACATCAAAATGTATTCAATTCTCAATATCTTTCTATAAAAGTTAACTTTGGGGGTTTCAAAATGTAAAACTAGAATTGTAAAGCAAAATTGAAAACAAAAAGGTATAAACTGAAATCAAAGGAAAAAGATAGATCAATCCACGAATTTTCAATCAAACAACCATCTTATCATAGTTTTCTAAAGATTTTAATATAAGTTTGAACAATTAACTGATTCAATTAATCAATTAAACCAATTATACAAATTAAATCTCAATATCATTTAATCTAATTATCAAATCAAGATTCAATTGATTCCTAATTTGAATTCTAAAAACAACATTTCAAAATTGAAATATCAAGATGCAAAGTCAAGATTAGAGAAGAGAAAAACAAACTTAGAACGAGAAACGATTAGTGTAAAACTCAATGCGATTTGTTTGATTTTGAGTATGTGAATTAATTCTTAAAATTTAGTTCTCCATGGAAAAAAATCTAAACTAATTCGGACCAAAAAAGGGGAGAATAGGAAGAGTAAAAAATGAAAATAGAAAAGAAGAGAGAAAGAGAAAATGTAGAGACATTTCCTAAACTAAAGAACTAAACAAATGATTTTTGGGTATGAGTTCTTGATATGAGTTTAGAGCACTTTTGGTGTATATAATAAAGGTTCTCAAATATGAAGTAAAAATGAATCTAAATGTGAGTTCTAATTAGGTCCATAAGCCAAATTAGAAAAGATAAATTAATACAAACAAAAATCAAATCCACATAGGTTTTTTTATAAAATTTTAGTAAAACTGTCCCAACTCCTACAAATCGTAGACAATAACACAAAACTCCAAATTCAACAAATAATATATTCATTTCATAGTCTTGAAAATTTAGAATATAATACAATTTAAATTAGACAAATAATACAATTTAAATTAGACAAAAATAATATTTGTAGAAAAAGTTATAAAATAAACAATAAATAAAGAGCAGTACTACAAAATACCAAAATACAGTAGAAAATTATGAAAATAGTATGTATTTATTAAAAAAAATCAAAATATATGCTAAGTTAAATGAATAAAGAAGAAACAAATATCTAAGAGATACAAAAAAAACTTATAAAAATATATACAAAAGTAGGTGCTATTTAAAAAAAATGTGAAAAGAAAGACAAGTGGGGTAAAGTGTTTATGATCTCCTTTTACTTCTTGTATTTCTTTATTTATTTATTTTCATATATATATATATATATATATATATATATATTATTTATTTATTTATTTATTTATTTGTAATTAAATTCATTATGGATATTTAAGTAGTTCTTCTAATAATTTCAATCCACTTAAAATTGTCAAATAATTAAATGATTTAACCATTTTTCTTATTACTATTTAAAGAAACCTCGTGAAACAATTTGAACCAGAACCATTCGTTTCTCTGGTGGAGATGGGTTTAGCGGGATCTTATTCCGTTGGGACGAGCCTCCCTTCCCTTCAACGCCTTCCTTCCCTGAAATCCCAAAACTGTAACAATTATTCAGCACCTGTTTGTTGCCATCGTCATGTGAACTGTGCTGTCCAAGTCCAACCACAAGCAGCACCACCACCTACTGTAACAGTGGCACCCGATGAGAGCCTGGTGAAGAGAAGGACTGTCATAGGTCTTCTTGCATTTGAGGCTATCCTTGCTTACTCTTCCTTAAATTCAGCGCCAGGAGCTGAAATTCCTTGTGAATTTCAAGTGGCACCTTCTGGTCTTGCCTTCTGTGATAAACTTGTGGGAGCAGGTCCTCAGGCTGTCAAGGGGCAACTTATTAAGGTATTTTCATATACATTTGTCATGGGCTATAACTATAAAAACTTTTATATTTTCAATAAATTACAAATTATCATATATAATATTTATGCTAAAAGTAAAAAACTTACTACTACAGTTTATTATTATTATTATATACCAGTATAAAAATGGATGTAAAAGCATACTGAATATACACATATGTGATGCATCCAACTTAATGTATTCAAGATGGCATGGCACAAAGAATGTTGAGTGGTAGTCAAGGTTCACGCACAACCTGTATTGAGCTTGGGCATTTTGGTCATTTACTGGCATTATCCACTTTGGGTAAACTCCTATGTTATGTTTGACCAATATGCTATCTTCCAGGCGCATTACGTGGGGAGATTGGAGAATGGGAAAGTTTTTGATAGCAGCTATAATCGTGGCAAGCCACTAACGTTTCGCGTAGGTGTTGGAGAGGTATGATTGTATATTTTTTTTTCTGCATTTGTAAACTATAAGCAGCAATATACAACATCAATGACAAACGACTAATTATAAATTATGTGTCAAAGTAATTATTATCAAAACCAACAACTTTATCAAGATAGTTTGTGGTAAATGATAATTTGAAATTTCTTTCTAGGATAGATATAACTTGTAAAATCAGAAATGGAATTGCTTCATAAGAAATTTTTGTTCATGAAAACCAGAGTACCTTTGTACAGTCATGTTCAGGAATTAAAAGTTATCATGAATCAAATAGGTTATTAAAGGTTGGGATGAAGGCATTATAGGAGGTGATGGAGTTCCTCCCATGCTTGCAGGTACTTCTTTTTTTATCGGTGTCAATTCATTCTTTTATGACATGCCAAGGTGAAATTGTTTACTTTTTCGTAACATAGGAGGGAAACGTACACTGAAGATTCCTCCAGAACTTGGATATGGCTCAAGAGGGGCTGGTTGTCGAGGAGGCAAGTACTTCTTTCCTTTTGTTTTGTGCTGCCAAACGATACTTTTTCTTTGACATTATAGTTGAGTGGAAATTAAAGATGAAATTTTTATTGTTCTTGGTTGTTTTGCACTGTGTGAAACTCGTTTTGTTAAAGATTATGTAGCTTTCTCTTTAATTGGTTTTAATGTATAGTGTTACCCTAGGGAAAAGCACTGGTTACTTGAGTGTAGGATGTGCTTTATTTTGAGTATACACGAGCTTAGTGTGATGATTGTGGCACTCGGCAAGTGACATAACAATGCAGAATAAGAGGGGAGAATGGACTCAATGCATGCTATATTTCTCTGTTTTTCCTGTTAACTTAGCAGTGAAGGAGAATAAACAAGAAAAATGCACACTTAATGTTAACAAAATGATAATTGTCAGCAAGTTTTTTTTCTAAAAGTGACATTGCGTAATATACAAGCTAGTAGCTGCTAACATTTCTCTGTTTAACTTTTAATGAACTTGTTAAATATATAATTTACAAGAGCTATTTCTCAATAATAGCAAAATTGGAACCATTAAATTAATTTCTTAAAGAAAAATTATTTGTGCAAAAACCATGCCAAGGCATATCTGTAGAATGATGTTTATAAGAAAATAGTGAAAACACATTTACATCAAATTCTGTAAAGAAGCTGGAACCAAGGAAAGCGTGCCAAGCTGCTGTAGGCTGGAGGCTTGCAATATTCTGTTTTATTCGTTAATCTAAATTAGTACTAGGTTTAGCGGTTGAACAGAATATTGGTAATAATCTTCAGAATTATGCATTGGGTTATGGATAACAACAGTTCACATTTTCTTTTTCTGCATGGTTTTTCATTTTTACTCTTTCTCTTAGCCAAGCAAAACTTATACATAGTTTTATGCAGGTTCATGTATCATCCCTCCTGATTCAGTGCTATTGTTCGATGTAGAGTTCGTTAGCAAAGCATGATTTAGAAAGCCGTGAGCTGGAAATTTTCCTTCTTTTCCTTGTGGAGGTTGGAGCATAGATTCCATACAGTCGAAATTCTAAAATTAAATGTTAAACTTAAACTTGCTGGATAAATTCATAACTAAGTAATTGACATGCAAAACTATTTCATCCAGCTTTGATTTCGATAGCATAGAAATTGTACCCGAAAGTTGAACTGTTATGAGCTGCAGTTCAGCACTGAAAATATACTCCTCTGAAGTTCAATCAAGGAGGGTAACTAATACAGAAGAAAATAGAAATAACCAAATAAAGGGAACAGCCAGTAAAAGGAAAGCTGTCAAAGCACTTTGGTTGCTTTTGGCAAAGCAAGAAACCAGTTCTTTTTATCTCTTTTTATGTATGATAAACACTCTCCCGAGTCCTAGTGTTCCAAAGCAGTTAAATTGATTCCTAATAACTTATTAAAGTGACAAGACCCCTGCAATCAAAAGTGAATGCCAAATCATGTCGCATTGGCTAAAGAGATCTACCGTACCTACTCTTACTGGTCGTGTTCATAAATTTGAAACTTAAATTTGCTTCCTATATTCTGAAGTTTATATGATAAAAAATAAGTAAAAACAGAAATCAATAAAAAGCTGTTCTCACTATTTCAGGTACAATTTTTTTAAAATATATAACAAACTGAAAATAGAAAACAATTTTCTCAAACTAAATAGCCTCTAAATTTTGAGTTTAATGCTTTTATGAGATGGATTGATGCGGCCGAAAATGTCCTTCCATGCATTATTTACATGACATTTGACATTGAATTCAGTACGCGAAACTGACAAATTGTTTGAAATGTGGACGCATTTCATCCCGTAAAATGTAAAAGGACAGATTATGATGCTTATCACTTGGGAATCTTAGCTTTATCCCAACTTTTGAAATCATGATTCAAGAGTGTACCAATATAGGTACCAAAAACACGATACACAGAGTTTAGACAAGGAAAAACCATGAAAATTAACCAGTAAATTTTCCAATTAAGATTGTCAGTTTCTAATGATTAATGAATGAGATAGGTATGTGTGTACTACTACCATTATCCAACAAGAAGAAAGAGACACCGGATGGAGATATATACAAGAGTTGAGTATGTATGCTTTGGTCTGCTTCAGTTTTAAAGGAATGGGACAAAGGGTACCAAGGGAGTTCCAGAGAAAGTGATGAGGATATTTTGGGATATTGAGGAAAAAAGATATTGACCCTTCAAACGCTACTTTGGATGCCAATTCTATGTAAACTTTTTCACGCAAAACAATGGTTGAGGATGATTTCTTGGTCTTTTCCTACATTTCTCCTTTCACTAGAGTTTGCAGTGAGCAACCTCCTCATCGTAAACATAAGGACCCAAAACCATTACAAATTTGAATCATCATGTGATTCATGACCGTTCCCATATTGCTTTCTATCCAATAACATAGCACAATGATGACAACAAGTGTAGAATCTCATATACACATATCCTCTCATGTTTAAATCATTGGTACATGATCATGCTTTCAATTTCATAACAACAACGTGAACAAAGAATGCACTGCATATCAAACTGCTTTGAAGGAAGCCTTAGGAATCCAAAATATTCCTTTGCAAATGGACAAAAACAAAACCCAAAAAAGGGGGAAAAGAAAAAGTTTAAAAAAAATCTGAACGCCATTCACCATGGTTGGTAACAATCCTTTTTTTTTTTTCCTTGTTCTTTCTTGTGGATCTTCTTTCTTCTACTACTGAACTTACCTGTTTGAAATGGGATTTGGACCACTGGGGACTTCATGTGCGCTGGCATTGAAGATCCTGTTAGGAGATTGAGAGTGCTTTCTCATTGGAACATGAATGCTGCCTTTGCCTGATCCTACTGCCATATCCTTCTCGGAATTTTGTTCACTGTCTTCCCTTGCTGAAGCAACTACCTTGGTGTTGCTCTTCTTGGGACCCTCTTTGTTAGATATTGAAGGAGAGAAGTTGTTTTCTAGCATGGCCATAGTGAAGTGAGAAAGTAGGAGCAAAGAGATGAAAAGGACCATGCAGGTGGAGAAGGAAGATGTTGTATCACCAGCCATGCAAAACAAAGTGCCTTATGAAAATCATCCAAGAAGCATGGCTAACAAGAAGGGTGATCAGCAAAGTGTAAGGGATATGTGAATATGCAAATATTGTGAAAAACTTTTGGAGCTCAAGGTGACAGAGAAGGTGGATAAATTCTGGGGAAGGTAGTGGGGGATATATAATGAAAAAAAGTTTAGGTACATAAGAAATAGAGAAAGAGAAAGTCTCTTGAATATATATGAAAAGGGAAAGCAGGGATTTATGAAAATTTCTGCATGGTCATATTAAACTTCTTTGTGATGAGTGCCAATGTGATTAGAACTATGGTATTGACATGATGGCATCCAAATCTAAAGTAAAACATACTACACACACAGGTGGCAGCACACAGCAAGCGCCAAGTGGCATATAAATACAGTTGCTATATTACGGGAACAAAATTTGCTTTCAACCTAGTCTGTTATTAAAGTGCTAGACAATAATGGCCCACGTAATTAACATGATGTACAATTTCACAAAATAAGAACTTTTTTAATCCAAAACCATGAATAAAAATCAATAACAAGGCGCTAAAATATCGCGAGATGCCCCACAAAATATAGGACGGTACTAATTTCTTTTTTAGTATAATAAAATTCATTTTCTGCTGCCGTAACTTTAATTTCACCTTTTAATCTAATATCACTCATCTTTTAAGTACTAATTACAATATCAAATTCAGGCACCATTTTAAACCTACTCTCACATAAGACAGAAGTGTAACATTTTAACAATTTCAAATATTTGGTAACTCTTCTAACCATGAAAATACAGGGATTTTACTTAGTACCGATCTCATATAATTTGTTTTTTGTTAGAGCTGGGATATCCATAATCTGAAATTTGTCTCTGCTAAAATAAGCATATATATGTAATAAATTTATGATTTTGAGATCAAATCTCGATTTATATTGGAAATATTACTTTATTATCTTTATTTATATTAGGTATTAAGAGATTTTATTATCTTTTAAGAGAGAAGGTAAAAAGATATTAAGTTATTATGTTGATTTAACCGGTTATGATTTAGATATTACTAATATTTGATATTTTATAATATTTTTACTCTATATATGCATAGAATACATAGAAATATATTCACATGATATATCAGAAATACATATATACAAAATCCTAAAATTCTCATCAGTGGTATCAAGAGCTTTGGTTCGATACAACGAAAGGAGAAAGAAATTTTTCATAAGTCGCTATTCCAGTTTTTTATGGCGAAAGTTATGACTTATGTGCTGTGAGAATACGATCTTATCTTGAAGGATTGGATGTATGGGAAGTTGTAGAAGAAGATTATATTGTTGATACACTACCTGAAAATCCTACCATAGCTGAAATGAAATTTCACAGAGAAAGAAAAATGAGGAAGGCAAAAGCTAAATCATGTTTGTTTGCTGGTGTTTCACAAATGATCCTCACCAGAATCATGACGCTAAAGTCACCAAAAGAAATTTGGGATTATTTGAAAGATCAATATGAAGGGATGAGAAAATTCGAGGTATGAAAGTTCTAAACTTAAGGGAATTTGAGATACAAAAGATGCAAGAGTCTCAAAAAATTAATGAATACTCAAACAAATTGTTGGGTATTACTAACAAAATAAAATTGTTAGGCAAGAAATTTTCTGATTCTAAAATAGTTGAGAAAATTACGGTAACTGTGCCAAAGAGATATATGAAGCATCTATTGCTACATGCGGTGAAAGTTCTTTACTATATCATGATGAAGGTTCTCTTCAAGCCAAGAACAACAAAGGTATAAAATCACGAGTCTTTTCTATTTGTCCTTATTACAAGAAAAATACTTGCACACCCAATAATTATTGGTGGAGGCCTGATGTGAAATGTCGAAAATATGGTCAACTATGACATATAGAAAAGATATGCAAATCACAACTAGAAGACGCCGTCAAGATTATAGAGGATGGAGTAGAATGATAGCTTCTCCTTGCATCAACATGCTCTACAAACAACAAATCCACAGGTTGGCTTATAGACAGTAGTTGTACAAACCACATGACTCATGATCGAGAATTTTTCAAAGAGCTCAATGAATCACATCTTTCTAAAGTGAGAATCGGTAATGGAGAACAAATGGACGTGAAAGGTACGAGAAAAATTGTAGTTAAAAGTCATTTGGGTATCAAATTAATTTTTTATATTTTATATGTTCCTGATATTAATCATAATTTGTTAAGTGTTACTCAATTATTGGAAAAAAGTTATAAGGTGTCTTTTGAATACAAACTTTGTGTGATTAAAAATACAAATAACTTGAAAATATTCAAAGTTCACATGAAAGGAAAATTTTTTACTTTAGATTTGATGAAAGAAGAGTTTATTACAAACAAAGATATAAAAGAAAAGTTAAAGAAAAAATATGAAGAAGATTTCTTGAAGAAACTTGATGCTAAGGAGGAAAATAAAGATGTAGATGAAGAAACTGTTTTCAACGTCCATCAAAGAGTCAATGGTACTACCATGAAGAAGTTTGAAAGAAATAAATGAGATGAAGTTGTTAAAGAAAAAAATACTTTGATGAAGAAAATAAAGTTGAATGAAGATGTGATCTCATATAAGAAAGTTATAAGGTGTCTTTTGAATACAAACTTTGTGTGATTAAAGATACAACTAACTTGAAAATATTCAAAGTTCACATGAAAGGAAAATATTTTACTTTAGATTTGATGAAAGAAGAGTTGATTACAAATAAAGATATAAAAGAAAAGTTAAAGAAAAAATATGAAGAAGATTTCTTAAAGGAACTTGATGTTAAGGAGGAAATAAAGATGTACATGAAGAAACCATTTTCAACGTCCATCAAAGAGTTAACTGTACTACTATGAAGAAGTTTGAAAGAAACAAAGGAGATGGAGTTTATAAAGGAAGAAATACTTTGATGAAGAAAATGAAGTTGAATTAAGATGTGATCTCATACAAGAAAGAATATGACAAGAAGTATAAAAAAAATGAGCAAAAATTATAAGTAAAATAAAAGAAAAAAAAATCAAATTCAAATAAATAAATATTAAAGTAAGGAAGAATGTTGAGAATATTACTTTATTATCTTTTATTTAAATTAGGTATTAATAGATTTTATTATCTTTTAAGAGAGAAGATAAAAAGATATTAAGTTATTATTTTGATTTAGACAGTTATGATTTAGATATTATTAATATTTGATAGTTTGTAATATTTTTACTATATATATATATATATATATATATATATATATATATATATAAATATATATAGTACATGAATAGAAATATACTCATATGGTATATGAGAAATATATATACACAAAATCCTAAAATTCCCAACAATTTCAACCAAAAACTTATTCTATGAAATTGGTATTAGCTAAAGTTTCTATATTTTTTTACTAGTACAATAACCATGAAAAAAAAAAAAAGTAAGTTTCATAAAAAGTCAAGTCCAGATAAAAATTTGTTAAAAAAGAAACAAAGAAATGTCAATAAACATTAAAAGTTGTAGTTAATTTTAATTTCCTCCTTTATCTTATTCGAGAATAGTTAGAAAAATAATAATAAATAAATTTATTAAGAAAGACACAATTATCAACATATACTTTAAATTAAATAAAGTAATTAACAATAATCAATAAATATAAAGAATATATTAAGCCTAGAGTAATTTATTTTAAAGCATATGAATCGTTATGCGTAAAGAAAAAACGACACCACTATATAAGTATTCTTAAATTTCTCAATGCATTTTTTTCTTAAAATACATTAATATGATATATCTTTTATTTTTAGTAAAAGATCCCGAAATTTATAAACTTTGCACTAAAATATTTAATAGAAAATTAATTTTAAAGAAAAAATAACTTTCAGTACACTAATATTTATAAACCTAACATAATATTTAAAGAAGAAAATTGTATAACAGCATCTTCTTACTTAAAAAAAATCAGTGAAATAATTCTTAACATACTAATAAAGGATTATTAATCAAATATTTGAAATAACAACAATAACAAAAATAATAAAAGAAATATAATTTAAATTTTAAAATTGACTTACAACATTCCTTCACAATTTAAAAATTAAAATAAAGCGAATAATATAAGCATACAATATTTTTTGATGTAGCAATCTAGATTCACAATATTATATTCAAATTTGATAAATTCAATATAAATAATACCATGTGTTTACATTTTTATTCTCATGTGTTTTATGGATTAAGAATATTACCAACAAAATTTTGATTGTCGCATTTCATTTAAAGGATATAAGTTTAACCACTAGTACAAAATAGGCTTTTAACATCGGATGTTTTTATTTATTCATTCATAACCCCTCTCTATTGATAGAGAGGTCTCTTCTCCTTTGGCAAGATTCGAACCCAGTACCTTAGAGTCAAGGCTAATACTCCAACCACTAAGCTACTAGGATTTTCTAATAATAACTTATACATAAATTATATTTATATACAAATAAAAATGTATATCTATGTAAATATATAAATATAAAATATATAAATACAAATACAAATATATTTATATATTTATATGTTGGATGTGAGGGCGCGCTCGAGGATGAAAGTGTGTGTCGAGTGAATTTTCAAAATTTGATGTCAAATTTGTGAACGAGTCTCTTTATATGGATTATAACTTAATGACAAAATATAATCTTTATAATTTATTTATATAATGATATAAAATAATTTTTTTCTTTATTTTATGTCATTATATAAATTAATTATAAAGATTATATTCTATATTATTATAAATAAATTATAAATATTATATTCTATTATTAAATTACAAATTCATATAAAGAGACTCGCTCACAAATTTGACATCAAATTTTGAAAACCCACTTGACACACACTTTCCCTCTCGAACGCACTCTCACATCCAACATATAAATATATAAATATATTTGTATTTGTATTTATATATTTTATATTTATATATTTACTTGGATATACCT